TCTGCCCATGGATCCAGCCTGGCCAGGTCCCTCAGCCCCTGGATTCAGCCTGGCCAGGTCCCTCTGCAGAGCCTTCCTACCCTCATTTCCATGCAGATCCCTCCATCCCTGCTCACCAAAGGGTTTCTCCTGGCCATGGAACAGCTGGTATCACCCCCCACCCTCCTGCAGCTGCTGGAGCTCCATGTCCATGGCACTCAGCTGATTTCCACCCAGGAGGTCTCCTGCCAGTGTCTGGGCTCAGTGTAACTTCTGTGGGCTCAGTAACCTGCAGGAAACCTCTCCTGGGCTGGATTTGTGCTGGTTTCCTCCAGGCCACCCCCAGGAACCCAACCAAGCAGCTTCATTCCTGTCCACGTCTGGTAGAGGAGCATCAATTGGGCCTCAGCTCTGCTCCAATTAGCACATGCAAGAGTGAGTTAATGAGGGTGATGAGTGAGGGGCCTGGCCATGGCCATGGGGTGAGAAGGTGGCTCCATCCCTCTCCCACTGCTTCACACAAGCATCACTGGGATTTGTTTTGTTTTCCTGGATCAATGGAACCAGATCAACCCCATTGTTTGGATCATCACTCTGGAACAGGCTGCCCAGGGAAGTCCTGGAATCACCATCCCTGGAAGGGTTTTAAAGCTGTGTAGGTGTGATGTTGAAGGACATGGTTTAGTGGTGGGACAGGAGCAGCTCTGCTCTGGAGCCAGGCTGGGAGAGTTGGGGTGTTCAGCCTGGAGAAGAGAAGGCTCCAGGGAGACCTGAGAGCAGCTTCCAGTGCCTGAAGGGGCTGCAGGAAAGCTGGGGAGGGGCTTGGGACAAGGGCAGGGAGGGATGGGAGCAGGGGGAAGGGTTTCCAGCTGGCAGAGGGAGCTGCAGCTGAGATGGGAGGGAGAAATTCTTGGCTGTGAGGGTGGGAAGAGCCTGGCCCAGGTTGCCCAGGGAAGCTGTGGCTGCCCCATCCCTGGGGGTGTTGAAGGGCAGGTTGGATGGGGCTTGGAGCAGCCTGGGCTGCTGGGAGGTGTCCCTGCCCATGCAGGGGTGGGACTGGATGGTCTTGAAGGTCCCTCAAACCCAACCCATTCAGTGATTCTACAACTTGGCAGTGCTGGGTTAATGGTTGGGTTGATGATCTCAGGTCTTTCCCACTCAAAACGATCCCATTTTTCTCCCACCCCAGGGCCCTGCTGAGCAGACCCTGCTCAGTGCCCACCAGCTGCTCTGGTCAGCCCTGGTTTCTCCTTGCTGCTGGTCCACTGGACCTCTGGTCACCCCTCTCTGCACCTCCCCTGCCCACTGGCCATGCTCAGCCCTGGGTTCCCTCCCCATCCCACTGCTCCTTGGAAGCCCAACAGAGAGAGGGGGGGAGGACACAGCCCACCCTGGGCTGGGACCTGCTCACCTTGAGCTTTTATAGCCCCACCTGAGTGGTTCCCTGTCCAAGAAGGAGCATCTGCACCCACATAGCAGCTTCCCTGGGCACCCATCCAGCACACCAGGACCTCCCCTTCCCTGGCCCCACGTTTGCCCCCAACCTTCTCCTGCCCCCCTGCCCATCCCCAGCTCCCTTTTCAGCCCCCAGCAGAGCCTGGATGATCAGCCAGTGGGGTGGGATGATCTCCTGCTGGGGAGCAGAGCACCCACGGGGTGTTCTTGCCCCAGTCCTGCCTCCCAGCCCTGAGGATGTTGCCTGAGGGGGTGGCTCTGGGATGAGGGTCCTGATGAGGTGACCCCTCCCCAAACCATAAACGTGGGAAGAAAAGAACCAGCACAGAAGGGTGAATCAAGAAGACACTTTAATCAGCTTGATCAGACAGGGCTGGATCTCCAAATAAATAGATTTATCAAAACCAGAATGAAACAAGAAACCAGGGGTAAATGCCTGTACCAAAACCACCTGAAAATCCCCCAAAGCTCATTCCAGAGCTGGGGAGGAGGGGGATGCTGCTGCCCACCCTCCTCCCCACGCTGCAGTGATGGTCCTGCTCCCCCTTTGGGAGCTGCCCCTCCTGTGGGTACAGCCCAGTAGATAAGATGTAGGATATATACAAATATAGAGCATCATCACCTGCTTGGCAGCGACCTCAGGGCAGAGCCTGGGGGCTCAGATCCCCCAGCAGGTGGGTCCTCCCAAGGACTACACCTTCAAGTGACCTGTAAAGAAGGGAAAAAGAAACCTCCCAGCTTGAAACCCGGGAGAAAAGCCCCCAGACTTTTCAAGGAACACCCTCTGGGGGGCGTTCAGCCCGAGAAAACCCTTCCCAGATCCCAGGGGGGGCTCCAAGGAAAAGAAATCAAGGATGGTGGGGTTTTTTTTCCCTTCCTTGCAGGTCAGGTCTGCATGTTCTGCTTTGCTCCTGCTGCTCTGCAGGAACGCTGGGGGGTTAGAGATGAAGCCACCCCCTCACCTGGCACCAGCCCTCAGGTCTCTGCCGGGGTCCTCCCCTCCTCCTCCTCCTCCTCCTCCTCCTGCCCACCCAGCATCTCCAGCCCCACCTCTTGCTCTCTCCCACTGGGAGGAGGCACCTCCATGGCTGTGGCTTCCACGCTGCTCCACTTGCTTTGGCTGCTGCAGGTCCTGTCCTCTGCTCTAGTGTCTCCTTTACTGCTGTGCCAGTCTAGGTAATAATGCACTTTATCTTTCTCATATATAGCTAAGTGTGTGTGTAGGTGTGTACGTGGGTGGGTGTAGATAAATCAATAGCTAAGTTAAAGTTTTTTGGGGGGTTCTGGTTGGTTTTTTCTCCTTTACAAGTTCTTGGTTTCCTTCTCTGGGCTCTCTGTCATCCTCAGCTCTGATGTCTGGGCTCGGAAGATGTTCCAGTGACCTGGGTGAGCAGAGATGGACACTCATCAGCAACCACTCTTGGAGAAGGAAAACACAACCCACCCCACACATAGGACCTTCTGCAATGGAGAACCCACCAGGACCAAGCTGGGAGGGAGGTGAGGAGGGAGGTCCCCCCATAGCTCTGGCCATGGCCAGAGAAGATCCTCAGTGGTCCCATAAACCAGACCTGGGCTTTGTCATCTTGCACATAAAATGGTACTTGAGCTCCAGAAGGGCCCTTTGGACCTTCTGCAATGCAATTATATAGACTCATAGAATGGTGAAGGTTGGAAGGGACCTTAAAGATCATGTTAGATCCAACCTCCTGCATGGGCAGGGACACCTCCCAGCAGCCCAGGCTGCTCCAAGCCCCATCCAACCTGCCCTTCAACACTGCCAGGGATGGGGCAGCCACAGCTTCTCTGGGCAACCTGGGCCAGGCTCTCCCCACCCTCACAGCCCAGAATTTCTCCCTCCCATCTCAGCTCCAGCTCCCTCTGCCAGCTGGAAACCCTTCCCCCTGCTCCCATCCCTCCCTGCCCTTGTCCCAAGCCCCTCCCCAGCTTTCCTGGAGCCCCTTCAGGCACTGGAAGCTGCTCTCAGCTCTCCCTGGAGCCTTCTCTTCTCCAGGCTGAAC